TAGCAATGAAAATGTAATGATACATTTTATAGACAATACTGTTGTATATCAGAATAATAATAATAATAATAATAATTTTCAATTTTTCACAAATACACTTCAAATAAATGTTAATTATCAATTTGGATATTGTAATGTGGGTATTAAAAAAATATCATTCATTATAATGAGAATTTGGATTTAAAAGATTTAAATACTGAACTATATCTATATTTTGTAATATTCATTATATTAATGAAAATGATTATCATCAATAATTTGTTATTATATTTTAGCCTGAAAAAAAGAAACTAGCAGCTTTCCCACTTTTTATTAAATTATATAACTTATTATTTATATCCAAAGATAAGACTTCACGAAGCTTTTTCAAGCTTCTGAAGTCTTATGAATTTTATGTTCATGTTTTATTATGGGTTTTGATTTTTATTTTAAAGCGCTGAATAAATAAATAAATAAATATATATATATAAATTATGTTTTTGGAAAATTTTTGAACGTTTGAGAAAATTTAAAATATACATTTTCAATGTCAAAGAACATGAAAAAATTTAATTCAATAAATGTTTAATGATTGATTTAATACTTTGTTCTCTTGTGAGGGGGAAACTCAATTCTTTTCATTCTTTATCATTTATTTTGTTTAGTTATTTATTTTGAAGATTTTGTTTAGTTTAAGGAGACAACTTCACATGCCTGACAGAAAAAAATAAAATTCAAAAGTAATCTTACCGTCCACAGTCTCAGTTGAACTTTCATTTGTTTACACTTAAAATAATCATATTAATAAATAGGGACAATATTTATGCACAGGATAATGAGAGTACATTAAAGTGTAATATATATAAAACCCTGTTCAAGTGCTGAACATTTTTGGCTTCAAGATAGCAGATGGTGATTATATGTCATTTATGTTTTGATATACTGGGCAAAGTCACTACTAAATTTAGCTGGCTTCAACCTTGACCAAAGAAAAACTGGTTTAGAGCACTACCTGTTATTCTTGCCTTCATGTTATAATATTAAAGTGCATTCTTGCTTATCCAGCATACCCCCAAGTGTGATTGCTTATGTACCTCAATATCCATGAAAATGTTAGCCCTGTCCCACATCATGTTTTCCTGTTTACTCAAAGTTTCATTTCTATGTGCATGTCAACATGCTGTATTATGTGTCCACTTGCCTTCAAAAAGAATAAGTACCAAAGGACAATAGGTTACATCATTTACTGCCTTTAGGCATATACATTCAGTAATTGGGGTCTCTTGCTAATCAGGCACCCTTCTGTGCAAAAAATGGCTGGGTTAGCAAGTCTAGTATATTTAAATATACATCCAGTCTATTAATAATTGAATGTTTATCAATATAAATTAGTATACATACAATATTTTGCAAATATTCAATTTAAATAATGGAATTCAATTAAATCTATTTATATCAAATGTTTTCAAAGTACTGATCACTTTATTCTTTGATCTAAATTATAAAAATATCTAATGAACCATAATATTCTTTTCTAACAGTTTTGTAGCAAAATAACAGGTATCCCTTACCCTTGCTTAAAGCTGAAATCTGATTAACACTGCAAAATTAATTGTGACAATCCCTTTATACACAAGGCAGAAGTTTTAATTAATGCATCTTTAACAGCTGTCTTTACTTAACATAGATATGTGATTTAATTATAACAGTTGTGAAATTTAACACATTATTGCTAATGTGATATTGTATTCTTTGTTTAGATGCTTATTTTAAAACTTTTTACTTCATATTTCGTTTATGTAAAATCAAATCAAAATATCTACAGATAAAATACATATCAGACATATTATGCTTTTTAAGCTTCATAAAGGATAAAATGCTATACAAACAGTAAAAATAATTAATTAAAATATCTATAACCGTAAGGCAGATAACAGTAAGGATTTATCACACCAATGATAATGGGCACAAACGCTCAAGAATCAAAGTAAAAACATTTAATAAAACAAAAAAGAGTGTACAATAAGACGATTACATAAGTATAAAAACCGTAAAAATCCAAAATTTTATACTTATGTAATCATCTTATTGTACACTCTTTTTTGTTATATTAAATGTTTTTACTTTGATTCTTGAGCGTTTGTGCCCATTATCATTGGTGTGATAAACCCTTACTATTATCTGATTTACGGTTATAGATATTTTAATTAATTTAATTATACTTAGGGCTAAAAGCAATTTCTGTAGTAAAAAATAGTGTTTGTAAAGCATTACAATGTAATGTGTATGGGGAAGATGTTCCTAAGTATCAAACATGTCAAATGTGATTTTGAAAGTTTCATTTGGAAAATTTTGAACTATAGGATACAAACATATGTGGTAATCAAAAGCTGTTTAAGAAGAGAAATTGCAGGAAGAAATTGTTAAAAAATAATGAACAACTCATGAACTTGCAGCAAAACTTAGTGTGTCACAGACAAATTGTTAAACACTTCATCCACTTGGAATAGTTGCGAAAAATGATAACTGTGTTCCATACACATTAAGTGAAAAATAAAAAATCTGGATCAAGTATAATTTTGTCTGACAAAGATAGAAAGCCTTAAAGTTTCATTTTATTTTTAAATTAGTTACTTATTTTTACCATAGGAAACTTTTTACAGATGACAAAATTAAAGTTAAAATATAAATATTTGTTATTAACCAAAAATTTGTTCTAGTAAGTCATGATTGCTCAGTCAAGTACTAAGATACCTCTATATTTGATCATTGATTAATGCGATTTTGATATATGCAGTAGCATCAAAAGATTAATGAATCACATTAATCAAGGAATATGTGTATATAAAGTTTTATAATAATATTTTTTTTAATTTTTACAGAATAGTATATAAAGTATATAGCAGCTGTAAGAGCTGTTTATATAAATAAATAGCTCATACAGCTAAATGAATTTCAAATAAACAAACACCAAAAATCCCATGGCATGAACACCTTAGTATACAATTAAGTTTGTACAGGGTGTTTTTTTTTAGAGGTAGTATACAAATTTAAAATGAAATAAAACACGTAAAAATAATGTTAATGGCCATGGTGTTTGATTTATTTAAAAGCTAATTTTATGCCATTAGTGTTTAAACATGATTTTGGGCATATGGGTGCCACGGCTTGCTCAAATGAAGCGCAATCGGGAAGAACAATTTTTGACCACTTTATCGAGCAACTGGGGCCGTATATCGGCAATAATGCAGCAAATGTTGACTTCCAAGTGGTCCAACGTCTGTGGTTTATCAGCGTAGACTAGTGACTTCACATATCCTCAAAGAAAGTAATCCATAGGTGTGAGATCACACGATCATGAAGGCCAGTTCACAGGTCTATTACGTGAAATTAGGCGTTCATCAGATGTTTCCTGCAATAAATTGATGGTGTCGCGCATTGTGTGGCATGTTGCACCATCTTGTTGAAACCAAAGCTCTGCCACATCAATACCATTCAACTGAAGAATGAAGTCAGTAATCATGGCTCCAAAAGCGCTCTCCATTGATGGTAACATTCTGGCTGGCATCATCTTTAAAGAAATATAGGCCTATGATTCCACCTGCCCATAAAGCACACCAAACAGTGACTTTTAATGGATGTAAGTTACTCAACATTCGCCGCCTTATTGCCAATATACAGCCCCAGTTGCTCGATAAAGTGGTCAAAAATTGTTCTTCCTGATTGTGCTTCATTTGAGCCAGACGTAGCGTCCATATGCCCGAAATCATGTTTAAACACTAATGGCATAAAATTAGCTTTTAAATAAATCCAACACCATGGCCATTAACATTATTTTTGTGTGTTTTATTTCATTTTTAATTTGTATACCTCTAAAAAAATCACCCTATATATTAAAGTTTTTATGCTGAGAGATTTTGTTTGTTTATTTATTTATAGCAAAAATTAGAAAATGTAATTTGATTATTAATGAAAATATTTATAAAGAACAAATTTAGCTATAGTCTTTTCCAGAATAGAAATAAAGCTAATGTTCATTAGTCTACACAGGCAAAATAGTTCCATGTTCATTATAAAATAGATTATATATACTGTATACGGTATCAAGAAATTTGAGATTAAAAAAAAAAACAAAAAAACAAAAAAGATCAGTCATATGACACTATAATGTTTTCGTTACAGTGTCAAATGTTGATGTCATATGACTGGATATTTGAATTTTTTAATAAAAAAAACTGTAAACATAATGTTTCAAAGAATTTTCATTGCTTAGCTATGAAAATGCAGCGATACATATTCCAGATCCAGCACATTGGTTAAATTTTTATTCTGGGGAATAGTATAATTTCAATTTTTTTAGTCTGGAAATATGATATATATCCAGGGTCTCCAAACTTTTTTGATTGTCGACCCCTTACAACTTTTTGAAACCTCACATTGACCCCCACCAAAAAATCAATAGTAAAAGAAACTTTTACTATTTTAATACATTTCTTTTAATTTTAATTTTTTACATTTATTGTCTATATGTGTGAAATACTAAAATTAAACGATCAGCGACTTAAAAACAGCTGTAGAGGTGCTAATAACATCAGCGTACTGAGAATCAGACACAAGCTTACCAATGCTGTGGATGCTTGACAAGTAAGTAAGAACCACAGCACGGATTCTGCAATTTCCATTTATCCTGTGTGACTTGATCTGTAGCCATTTTATACATTGACGGGTAACTGTGCTATTATATTCATTGAAACAATATTCAAAAACATAATAATATGTATAGTTATATTTGTGGTTTTTAGTTTCAATTTTTCAATCAACCCCCAATAATGTTATATCAACCACTTTGGCAACCCCTGATATATATTGTGACAAAGATGTGATGCAAAGGCAGAAGTTACTTTTAGGTCATTTAGTTATAAATAAATTAACTAAATAATTTCTCTCAAGTCAGAAAAAATATATATATATATATTCTACATATGTAAAATCTAAAAATTATGCTTTAAAACATAATATACCTTTTCCATGCTAAATCTTTCTGGACAGATACTAGGTGGCTTAATTTCAATTGATCTTTTCCTATTTATTTCTGTTTTCCTAAATATTTCTAAATCACTCTTATCTTGAAATGATTTTCTAACTAATTCAGGACTATTTGAATTATTGGAAAATTTTCTAGATTCTTGATTTTCAGAATATTCTTCTTGTCTATTTTGCAATATTGGTTTTCTCAATATTTCCACATTTCCTTTCTCTTGATTACTATATTTCCTAGATAAATTAGAACTGTTTCTTTCAGAAGGCGTATGAGGGGAATATGATCTTGAGCGGGAACGTGATCTAGGCTGATGATGATGGTGGTGGTGGTGGTGATGATGTAATGATGATGGTGGTAATGGTGAGTAAGATCTGCTTCTGGAGCGCGAATGATATTCTGGATAATAACGACGTGATCTAGATCTAGATCTAGATCGTGAACGTGAACGGGATCTAGATCTTGAATAAGTTCTAGATCTTGTTCTGGATCTAGATCTATGAAAATGTCTTTCTCGTGAATTGTGCCGTTTATGTTCATAATATTTATCGGGATAATCCTTAGAATAATATGCATCCCGAGAAAGTTCTCTTTTAGAATGTTCACTGTCATAGTCCTTTGAATGACGAGGAGTAAGAGAACGACTTGAACGACCCCTCTCACGACCACGTCCTGATCTCGGCGTTCGTATTCGACCACGACCTCTTCCTCTAAATCGTGAAACTATTCTGGATCCACGAGAACGACCACCTCTCTTAGACATTATAACAGAGTTGATACTATGTTGACAATCTGAAAATACTCATATTTGTTTTCAACAAGAACAATGCAAACAAACATACACCCCAGCGACATAAATTAAGCCTAACTAATTCAGTGATGCCAGATATTACAGTTACAGAAATAAAACTCAAATTGTCCAAACATTAATAATTGAAAAATACTTTAATTTATAGATTAATGACGAAAACTTTATTTCGAATATTAATTCAAATATATTTATTAAAAGAATACGAAATAACTTTTATACTGAAAATATCGGAAATTGGTAGCCATGTACTGTACTGTACTGTACAGTACAGTACAGTACAGTACAATACTTGAAAGGCAGATACAAAACAGCAAATCTTATATTTTGATTGAATTTCCAATGTAAATTAATAGACTAATTCATTCTCACGGGCCGACAAAAAATTCGTAGACAGTCAATTGGGAATCACTCCTGTAATGGGTTATTTTTATGGCTTTTGGGTGACGGTATTGCACGTTTTTTTCTTTCTAAACCTTTGTTATATATCGAAGACTGGGAAATATGGACACCATACTCCAAAACAATAAACGGTAGCCTGCCGCCGCTCTAGACGAAGTCGGCTTGGAGTCCGTATCAGCTTAGACATTTTTAAGAGTGGATTGATTTTGATATACTGAGCAAACTAGATGTTTCCATCGCGGGCCTAGACCGAATCCACGATGGATTTGGAAAAAACCCTCTCAGTGCCTACAGGAGAAAGAATCAAAAATTGAATACAGTACAGTATATATGTAATGTTCATTTGACAAAACCTGAAGATTAAACGAAATTAAATGATGCTAGAGAATTTTAAAACTGTATTAATAAATAGAATTTTATAAAAATAGATTTCAATTTCAAAAATTCTCGCTATGAAACTTTCATCTATAATAAATAACTGTAATTATTATAATTCAATTTAAATAATTAATAAATTATGGTATAAATTTAATTAAAATTATATAATCAAACTATTTTTAAAGCTAAAATCTTATAAAATCAAAATTTATTTTGCTTCCCAAATTGCGAATTTAAAGACCCCATCAAATACTGTATCTGATAAGACATTCGCTTTGTATATAAAGATGCGTCTTCTAGAGGCTGGCAACATTGGATGGAAACGTTGTTTGGATGGTTGTTTTTACCTATTGTTTGGGTTGGGTTTTAACTGTATGAAATTTTTTCTTTTATTAGTATTTTAGTTTAGTTTTTCTAGCAAGATTGGAGCTGTTATGTCTGCATCAAGATCTGTTCGTAGAGCAACGCATGCTGGAAGTTGGTATACTGATTCAAGTAGGTTTCAAATAATTAAATGAACCAATTGTATACTAAATAACTAAACTTAAAAAATTTCATGATACATGGTTTTTGTTACAGTTTAATCATATATAATGGATTAAAGATTAAACTTATTATAACGTAAAATGTTTTTAATCGATACGTTAATATAATTCTATTAATTTGTTGAGTAATAATGAAAGTTTAAGATCTGTTCAAAATTAATGTTTGTATGTTTAACTTTAAATTTAATCATTTTTTGGTACTCCTATATTTAGACTTACACAATACATTTTATGTAACTTTATATTGAACACGCTTTATTTTCTATTGTGTATTTTATTGAATAATAAAATCAATTTTTGCATGTAAACATTTAGTATTTGTATATACTAAATATTTTGTACATAAGATATCCACTTGTTTTAATATTCTCATATAAAACAAGAAAGGTAATTATCAATAAATTTGTCAGTTTTATTAAAATTGGTTGCATAAGTAACAGTGTGGGCAATGAATTTGTTATTTCTAATGTATTTGTCAAGATTACTTGTATTTTGTAGAGATATTGAATGCTTTTATTTAACTTACTCTATCGTTTCCTCAAATCTTGGAACTCAAATTTCATCCAATTCTAATTAATATAGGGGCTGAAACTTTGTCATTATACTTAGATACGTTTTCAATGTTTTTTAACCTTTCAACAGTGGAATAGTCAGGTATGGTGCTACCGCTTAGTAGTGGAGAATAAACAGTGATGACATTCGAAATATTTAACAAAGGGTTCGCTAACAGAAAATTTTTCCTTAACAATTTTTTTTTTGCTCAAATGGTGCATCGGAAGCCTCTAGTTTAGTAGTGTTACAGAGTATAATACGTATATTTTAATATTTTCAAAAGAATCAAACCATTGAGAAATGTTACATGTGTTTAACAAGGTTCTGAAAACTTTGAAAATGTTAACAACGGGTTCGGCCGAACCTGTGCGAACCCGCTGAATATCACCACTGAGAATAAATGTGCGAAATTTTTAGGGTATTTTTTCACATGTTATTTTTCATTACTGTTTCAAAAAAAGATTTTGTAAACAGTTATGTCTAGTAAAGAAAAGTCTTTTTTTATTGTTACATAATTCATTTTTCGTGTGAATTTTTTTTTGCAATAGTTTTAGGCTAGTTTTTTGCGATACCCCTCAAAAGAATTTGATGAATATAGTTGTCCCTCACCACTGCCACACGATCGCCCTTGATGACTATAGTCATTGCTCACTGCTGAGTGATTAATAATGTTTTAGATTCCCATATTCTTCCACTCCTTCCTACCAAAACCAGGTAAACAACCAAATGTAGAATTTAATTACGTATTGGTGTCACATCCCCTTCCCCCACTCCTAATCTCAGAAAACACGACTAGTAAAAACATAAAACAACTTCTCTCAGAATCACTGGAAAGGATAATCAACCCATGAGAACCTTATTATATTCCAGTAACGACAAATTTTAATTAAAAGTAATGTTTTTGACCATAATCATGGTATTCCTCAGAAATCATTTGACCAGGCTTTTGATCAGTTCAATTCAAATATGGAACGCATCGAACAATATATTTAAATTATTTTAAAATTCCGAACATTTAAAAGTTAGAAGATAATTTTTAGCTGTATATGTTACAATAGTGATAAAAACATCCTTACATTACAACAAATAAATAATATGTACTGTACTTAATGGTGTAGAATAGGTATCTAATGTTGCTCTCGTTTTTTTCTCATAGCAATACCTCCATGCATAGGAAACATTAGCGACATTCTTTGTGTTAATACAGTTGCTGGCCAGTCTAGCTCTTTAAATTTCTAAAGCTTCCAGGTTGCAAAGGTGCTCAACTTGACATGACAATAACTTAAAACATATTGCTTCTTGATAACAAGCACTGAGTTCAGTGTTAAGACAATTTTCTTATGTTGTGTTAATGCTGAACTCAGTGCTTGTTATCAAGAAGCTATACAATTTTGGCATGAGTTTTATTTATTTATCTATTTCTATTAAAACATATTATTCGACATGTTCCATATTCTAATTACACTGGTCAAAAGCCTGGTCAAATGATTTCTGAGGAAGACCATGATTATGTTATGAATATGAAGACCATGATTATTAAGACCATGATTCCGGTTTCACCTCCTTATTGATGGAAAGGCTATCTGTGGATTACGGAAAGAAGTCTAAGCTAGAATTTTCTATTTACCCCGCACCTCAGGTATCCACTGCGGTAGTTGAACCGTATAACTCCATCTTAACGACTCACACTACGTTAGAACATTCTGATTGTGCCTTCATGGTTGATAACGAAGCAATTTACGATATATGTCGACGCAACTTGGACATAGAAAGACCTTCGTACACTAATCTGAACAGACTTATTAGTCAGATAGTGTCTTCCATAACCGCATCTCTCCGTTTTGATGGGGCGTTGAACGTTGATTTGACAGAGTTCCAGACTAATTTAGTACCGTATCCCAGAATCCACTTTCCTTTAGTTACCTACGCTCCCGTTATCTCTGCCGAAAAGGCCTACCACGAACAATTGACGGTTGCAGAAATTACCAATGCTTGTTTCGAGCCCGCAAATCAAATGGTTAAATGTGATCCTCGCCACGGCAAATACATGGCGTGTTGTATGCTTTACAGAGGAGAAGGATGTAAATGCAGCCATTGCTGCCATTAAAACCAAAAGATCAATCAAGTTTGTAGACTGGTGCCCTACGGGTTTCAAGGTTGGAATAAATTATCAGCCTCCAACCACTGTTCCTGGAGGTGACTTGGCAAAAGTTCCTAGAGCTGTTTGCATGCTCTCCAACACTACTGCTATTGCAGAAGCTTGGGCTAGATTGGACCATAAATTTGATCTCATGTATGCCAAACGTGCCTTTGTTCATTGGTACGTGGGAGAAGGTATGGAAGAAGGCGAATTTTCGGAAGCCAGAGAAGATCTGGCTGCTCTGGAGAAAGATTATGAAGAAGTGGGCATGGATTCTCTGGAAGGAGGTGAAGAAGAGGGGGAGGAATACTAAATGCATTTTGAAATATAATTTGCTAGAATGGCAAATTTCCATGCTTTTGTATTTCGATTAAAGTATTAAAACTCGCAACATGATTATGGTCGAAAATGCTAGTTTTAATTAAAATTTGTTGTTACTGGGATATAATAAGGTTCTCATGGGTTGATAGTAAAAACACATTTAAATTTAGAATGGATATGAGAATGCTTGCAGATTGAGCATTCATGCTCAATCTGCAAGCATTGATTATTTTTTGTAATTTTTAGTTGCATCAGTAACGATTACAATAACTGCTAATTATAATTGTTCAAGAGCCATAAAATTTTCCTTGATTGAACCAAATGAAATTGAACTAAAACTGTCAGTATTTAATAAAACATGATTTATCATATCTTAAAAAATGAACATAAATGAAAATGTCTCCACTCATCATTCATTTCTTATGTTAAAAAAAGATGTAGTATAATTTTATTAGCCTTATATGTATATGTATAAATTCTATACAAATAAATTTAAATGGTTATTTTGGACAGGATGTTGACAAATTTAAAATTAATAAGAATAAATTATGTAATTGTCAACTGTTAAATGAATTAAAATATTCATGTGTATAAAACTGTGATAAAGAAATGTGCATATCAAAATAGTTATTTTGCAAGTTGATGACTATAGTCATTGCTCACTGCTGAGTGATTAATAATGTTTTAGATTCCCATATTCTTCCACTCCTTCCTACCAAAACCAGGTAAACAACCAAATGTAGAATTTAATTACGTATTGGTGTCACATCCCCTTCCCCCACTCCTAATCTNTAGGGTGCCGCAAGAACGCCACAAGGGTGCCGCGAAATTTTTAAATAATTAAATTAAAATTACTTAAAATAATTGAATTAAAGTATTAAATTAAATAAATAATTAAAAGATACCTTTATAATAATAACTTTTGTTTTGAATGCTTTTGTGTTGTTTGGAAATAAACTTACTTTAATAAAAAACTTTTATTTTTTTCAAAGTCTTCTCATCCTTCATATCTTTACTAACCGTAAAAAGCAAAATAATAAATAATAATAATAGGGGTGCCGTGAATTTTGTTTAATAATTTCAAGTGTGCCACCTGACAAAAAAGTTTGAGAAACACTGGTCTAGGATGTGAAGTGTCTTTATTATGATGTCACCTTGCAAGCACTAGTAGGGTAATGTTATAAATGGTCTGCATAGTGTTTCTCTTCTCTTATGGTTATCCAGCATTGTGGATTTTGTTACCTAGCTTATTTTACACAACTTGAGGTAAAATGCTGGTGATGTTGGGGAATACAATTCTTTAGAAATGAGCAGTTAAGTTACTAAAGAAAAATTCTTGCAAGAACAGCTCTATATTTTTGATGAAATTGTCTACAGCATAGACATATGATTGACTAGTAATATATTGCTATAGTATATTAAGCCATCCTTTGCCTTTGTCACTTGGCCCAAAACTTTTTAAGTAAAATTTTTGGTAAAATTAATATACACACTTTTATTTATTAGAGAGAAAAAGAATTTAAAAAAAAATATTTTGTAATGAAAATTTATCATTAAAATATTTGACATGAATACATGCTTATCTAAAGCTAATAATATACAGTATTAATTAAACAATGGCATTTTTATTCAAGAGCTGGATGAGGTAGAAATTACCTGTAGCCTACTGAAGGCCATTTGGACAACTCATTAGCCTATGGAAGGTTGCAACTTCACGTATAAGACACAGGGAAACAGGATTTTTTTGTTTGGTTGTTTGACAAACGTTGCATCTTATATGCCATAAAATATGGTAATAATATAGAGAAAGCTATTGTAAAACTACTGGTAATTCATGATTCTATTGTTCATTTGATCATTTGATGTCTTCACTGCCTGCTTATTAGTTCTTAAAATAACTAATGAATGTTTTCTGCTTTAACTTGAAAACATAGAATTATTAATACTAGAGGTATATACAGTATTGTCAAACAGCATTAAAATCTTTTTGATAACACAAGTACTTTCAGTGATACAAAATTGTCATCATCAATCTAATGAATGTAGAATGGAATGTCATTACATGTAGTAGCATATAACATTCTTAAAATTTAAATATTCCAAACATTTAAATTTCACAACAGGATTCAACAACACTCATGACTATAAGAAAGAACAGAATTTGAAATAAAATGAAAACAAAAACTAAAGGTTTGACAGAACTCTTAATTTTTGGATGAAAGTTTGCTCCAGATATTTAGAAGACTTTTCTTAAATGCCGATTGTTATAAACAAGTTTAACTTTTAGAAGACATTTTTAATGAATTTTATTTTTTTGTTTATTATAATTGATTTTATATTGAGATATTTCTGGCATTGGTACACATTTTGTTAGTAATTTTTGTTGAATTATATCATCTTATTTTATTGAATATGTTAATGACTACAATAAGAGTATTTAAATAAACTTTAAACTTGTATACTATAAATTCTATGTACATAAGAAAGATACATCTCTTTTTAAAATAAATAGCAATCTATTAATTTTTTAAATTTGTTCATGATGTGTTATAACATGAGACAAGTAGGGTAGTGTGGCATTATGGTTGAAAATTTTAAAAAGTGTGATCCAAAGATAGGAAGCTCCATCATGGATGTATTTCACAGGGAGTGAGGAGAGTTTCCCAAATAAGTAATGCTCTATGATCGGTGCAACCCCCAAGGAGGATGGTTTGAGTCCACCCCTTGTGAATTGCACTTTTTACTTTACATAGTGACATTCCATTCTACATTCATTATCCTGATCTGATGATGATGATTTTACATTGTTGAAAGTACTTGGGTTATAAAGATTTTAACACTGAGAGTGTATACATCTAGTATTATATCCTTGCAAAGTATTATATACTTTGCAAGGACTTTGAAATACTGTTTCTATTTATTAAACTAGTTACACGTCAGTTCTGTTTTCTGAAAATATAGATTGTCCTGAATAATGTCAATATTGGTGCCATTGAAATGAATTCTAAGATGGATGGTAGTATGGGTGATTACAATAAAATTATTGTAAGTCAAATATAAAAATAATAAATTAATTGAATACAGTTGTAAATGTTGCATATAATTTTACATATTGTAATCAGTTACTATAACATACATATCATAACATCAATACAATACAGCTAAAGTGTTTAGATGTTTTGAATTTCAAACCACTGTTTAATATTTTAATTAATTGGGTTTTTTTATTAACAAAGATTCATGGAAATGCAAGCATGGAAATTTCCTTCAAAGAAACCAAAAATTATACTGAAGGAGTATTATAATTATATAATGTATTTATTGTCCAAAACTATGTTATATTTAGCATTTAATAATTGTACTGTGCCATTAGCAAATGCCATATTGTTTGGATTCAAAAGTTTTTGTTTTAGTACACTTGTTTTGGCCTTTATAAATGTATTTGCCAGTTATATATATCATATACTTTTTTTATGCATTATGATTTGATTCCAAACCATTTCTGCATCTTTTTGAAAGTTAAATATCAATGAGAAAGCTTTCTAATATAATAGCATGTTCATTTATTTTTGTAAACAATTAACATTGTCATTTCTATTGGCTATTGACTTCTTGTTTCTGCTTATGACTGAGTTAAAGTATTTTTTAATTTCATTTTCTGAGGAGTTTTTAAGCTGCAGAGATGGAAAGTATTTCATTTTTGTTTCTGCGTTATAGTAGAACTCTGTTACGTTTTTCAAGGGATTGATTTAAAAAAATTTTCGTGAGAAACATTTTAAACAGAACTGAAAATACAGTAATATTTTCATTTAATAATTTATANCATTATTTATTTATTTATTCGTATAAAAACAAATAAATAAAATAAATATTTGTAAGCTGTAATAATTAAACCTTTTCTCTGAAATAAAGTGAATGAACAATTTATTTGTACAAACATATGGTTATATTTTTTTATATGTATTTTTCTTTTCTGTATTTATGACAATTTTGCAGAGCATAACTCCCATAAATATAGAGCTCACTTTTGTATTAAACTTAAGTAGCTATTCCTGCATTCATCTTGAGTGATAAGGCATGCAATAGAAGTAGGACAGCTTGTGATTTATGTGTTTGTCTTGTATCTGATGAATATCCTGGTGAACACTGTTCTTAACTATGTAATAAAATTATGACATATTAAATAGATTTAAAATGTTTTACATTAAATAATAATAAAATCCTTTAAATATTTCTTCTGTTAATTGTAAATGTAAAAATCATCTGGAGCTATTTGGACAAGATTTCAAGATATGTGCAGAATTTCATGTTTTTATGAGAAATATTCACACTTAATTACCATGAATATGGAGGCTGTGTGCAAGCACTTCCCATGAAAACATGAAATACATCACTGTATAACTCGATTTAATTAAATGTTTAATTAATGAAATAACTTAATAATAATAATATGAATGTCTTAAGAAAGCAGAAGAAAGGTATGAAAATGAAAAATGTTATTTTGTTCTCTTGTATTCACAAGAACTTTCAAATTATTATATTTTGAATTTACATAAATAATATTCTTGTAAATTAATAATAGTCAGACAAAAAGCATAATATTAATTATCTGAACACTATAAGTAAGTCGTTCTTGCTAGGACTCATTATACACTATTGAAAAATCATTTAGAGACTGATGAACGTTAATTATTTATTTGTAACTACGGTTACAAATAAATAATTAAACTGAATTTACATTAATTACAAAATAAAAGTAAGTAAACAAGATTTTTTAAAAAATAGGATTAGTAAAAGTTAAAACTATAATAAAATTGTGACAATTATATTTTAATAAATATCAAGCATAAACTGTTCCAAAACAGAGCTGAGAAATTATTCTGTAAATATATTTAATTTACTGCATTCTGATTACAATTGTGTGCCAACTTTTATCATCTAACTTATAGAGAAACAGTTATTATATACAATCAAATACAGATATATTAAAAAACAAAAATAAATAATTTTAACAAAACAATGTCATGTTTGTTTATTACCCAACAATTAAAATGTTTTCTAAGTTATCTATAAATCAATGTGCATTATTACAAAAACGTTATATCTTTTATAATAAATATATTTAAATTTTTCCGTTTTGTACTGATATATTATTGGCAAAGTCGTCTTTTCCATCCATACTGTCATCTTCGCTCTTGTCAGAGTTTGGATCATCAGAAGGCAATTCTTTCTTGGGTTCACCTTTGCGTTTTATCTCTACGTGCCCCCTGCAGTGATCGCATTCATCATCCGTGTCAGAAGAACTTTCTGCAAATTCAAGTGGTTTCACGTATATACAGCAACCTAAAATATATTTTGTTTTTAATAAAAATGGTTTTAGTTTATGTATATTTAGGTTGATCGTATGAAAAGTTACCTTATAAGTATGAGACCCGACTAGAATCGGTAAATCTTGGTCAATGAATGGTCAAGATTTAAATGTTTTTGTGATAACTTAGCAAGGCAGTAACAAGCCAGGCCAGCTTACAGTATTGCCAGATCTATTTCTTACAAAATAAACTTTTCATTTGATCATGAAATACAATATTTATATTTACATTTGGATTTTTTCTTGTTCAGATTTTCATTATCTACAGTTTCTTCCGACCATTTTACTTTCTTCTGAGTCGAGGGTTTTTTTAGTTTTAATCTAACAACTTGTAAATTCTAAAAAAAAAAAATTAATTAATTGATTCTATAATAATTTTTCTAATATAAAGATTATGATGTTTCAAATTATATTTAGTTCCAATAATTCATATACTTTAAGATGACGCCAAACATTTGATATTTTCAAAATGCTGAGCAAACACTTAGCCAATTCTAAGTAGTGTGAATGATTTACTTGTGAATTTGATAGACAAATATTCAGTATTCACCATTTCCCACAACTTGTTGGTATGCTTTGCTGAACCAAAGGGGATGAATCTCGAACAAACATTTAATTCCTGTAATAAACTGATGCTTGGCAAATCATCATATGTATATATGTGCTTGATATTTTGGTGAAAGTCAATTATTAAGTAATCAACAAATACTGAATGAATGGAGCCATCTTTACACAGAAGAATAATTAGTCAAAATTTGAAAGAAACATAAAAATATAATGCAATAAGTGCCATTTATTCGAGCTAGATAAGTATTTATATCATAAGAAAACCCACAAGATGAAACACTGTTAATCAAAACAATTTTTATTAATAAAATAAATAAAAAATTTCTGATAAACTCTGTAATTGGAAGTAAGAATCCATTAAAATCTTAACATGTTCTGTAATAATAAATAAGACAAAATTATGATTTCTTAAAGCATTTATTTATCTAATATATTTAAAGCGATTTTCTGAATTTTGATTATAGCATAAATGAAGCTGGAGTTGCAGTGATGAAGTTCTATGTATGATTCCACTATACAATAGACTATAGATATATACAACTAATGAATGTTTTAACAAAATATCTATGAAAAAATAAGTCTGTATGTGATAAAGTCTCAAACTATTTAGATGTACTGCTTCCATCTTATCTAATTTATTTGACCAGAAATCATGTAGTCTATTAACACAACTACAAAGTTGAATGATGTGTAAGTTTGAGGTTTGTTATGTACAATAGTATATCATGCTAAATCAAGTTAAATTCTGACAAGATTAACTGTAATATTTGAAATATTATTTAATGAAAAGAGAATCCTTACTAATTTAAGGATACTTGCTCATCATTCTTAGAGCCTGCAAGTTAAGAGATTTTTTTCCTGTGCCTATTTTTATATCGATTTTGTTTTTGACACTGTTTCACATAAAAACACAGTTAATTAACAATTAACTTTATTCACTCTCAGATACAACTGACTGGGGTGACGACTACACAAAGACTCTGTCAGACAAACGAAAGCATGTTGGAATTTCCATCTTTGACTTGATGCCCAGATCAAGTTACAACAGATCAGTTACAATACCTATTAAGAATTTGGTCAAGCCCACAATGAGATAACTTGGTAGCAATTAAAAGATCAAACTACCGGTACTTGTGAAAATGTCCTGAAGATCTGATCCTGACTCAAATGCAAGTCAAGCAAGACGGTGCTTTTGCTACTTTTATATCCATATTTTCATTTTTTTTCAACAGCCAAACACATAAAACGTCCTCAGAAATGAAATGAGAAAATAATTCAAACTTTTTCTATAAAAATCATATTTCACTTAGGTCATAGAGAATTTTTAATTTTGCTACAAGAAGACATTTTAGGAAATTCAACTTAAATCACTTTCCAGAATTATAAAAAACTTACAATCTTTCAACTAATATTAATATATAGATATTGTTTCAATTTGTCCAACTTAGTTTTGAGTTTTATTTATCAGCCTCCAACCACTGTTCCTGGAGGTGACTTGGCAAAAGTTCCTAGAGCTGTTTGCATGCTCTCCAACACTACTGCTATTGCAGAAGCTTGGGCTAGATTGGACCACAAATTTGATCTCATGTATGCCAAACGTGCCTTTGTTCATTGGTACGTGGGAGAAGGTATAGAAGAAGGCGAATTTTCGGAAGCCAGAGAAGATCNCAAAAAATTATTTTTTATATATTTTTTCCATTTTTTTCTATTGCTTATAATCTCACACAATATATATATAAATTAGTGTTTTAAAAAAGACTTACGTAAAAAAACACCTGAGGGATATATCGGTTGTTGTGTGAGCACAGAACTTCGCCATTTTGTTATGACGAATTCGGATAGTTCATGGATGGATCTGACTGGTTGCCTACTGTCTAACAATTGACTACATTATGAATATAAACGAACACAACCCGATTCAAGATTGAGAGATCTCATATAAAAATGGGGGGGTAGCGAATAAATACAAGTTTCGTAGTTTCGGGGGGAGTGGAGAAACTTTTCTCGGTTTCTTTTCTTCTTTAAAAAAAACCCCGATGTTAGGGACAGACTTGACATGTGTTTATTTTGCTTTTACATATTTATATTCATATATTTATAAATTTTTTTATATATATTCATATATATAAAAAACACGAAGCTTGAGTGGACGAACTCTTCTATATATTTTTTTTTTTTCACACTCGGCCATTGAAAAAAAAAAGGTCGAAGTTGCGATAAATCGAAGAAATGAGGTAAAATACATATTTAAAAATATAAAGGGGGACCCGGGGTGGGGGTGAACTGTATTTTTTAGCCCCAACCAGTCAAATGGCTGGGGCTAAAAAATACAGTTCAGGTATCAAGTTAAAGCTCTTATTCTGTAAATGATGCTTGTAAAGAGATTTGAGAAAGGTGCAATGGTTCAGGTGTGACGAAGTGGAAAATGTACAATGTCAAGTCGACAGAACAATGTGTCAGGTTAATTTTAGCCCGAGCAATCTTTTTATGCTTTGTAGTTTCATTATTGTTCTCAGTTCATTAAATGTACATTTTAGTTACTAAGACCATTGTTTTTTCATTCTCTCCCAACTCAACCTCACCAATCCCCCACCCCCTCAAAAGCCCAAATGCAGCTAGTGTAAAAATAACTGTAGAGAAGCATACTGTCAACCCATTAATCAACTATACAATCAAATTTTATTGAAGCCATTCCTTATTACATTTAAAATTATAAAAATCTTACATCAAAATATTCCTTATTTATTTTATATATTGTGAATAGAGAATTAAAACATTTCATTTAACCTTGAAAAAAAAACTTAGATAATTTTAATTTTATTAGCATTAAAGTCATTCTGTGTTTGTATTATAGTACAATTTAAGCATTTTTTAATACAGTAGTACCTCGACTTACACTACCCTGACTTGTGCAAACCTGGAGTTACGCAATTTTCAAATCTCTTTGATTCATCTTTTGTTTGAGTGCCACGCAACTCTTGATTACTCACTCCCCCCACACTATTGTTCGGTGTGGTCACCAGTTCGTGTGAAATTACTCATTACAAACAGGGCCACATACAATAAAAGATTATCATTTATTCTCTATATGAATTATGGCGCGACTGTACAAGTTAAAACACGAGGTGTTACTACACACGTCTGCAAGGNGAAGTAGAACTGATTCTTCTGCATCAAACAAGAAAAGAAAAACTTTATCTTTAGAATGTAAAGTTAACATTATTAAAGACTTCGATACAAAAATGAAAATTTGTGAATTGGCAAAGAAGTTTGATCTACTGGAATCGATGGTCAGAACAATTATAAAAGGTAAAGAAAAAATTCTCAAAGCTGTAAAAAATGCTCAATCTTTAAGTTCAAGCATCATTCATAAATGTCACAGTATTATCCCTGAGATGGAAACAATGTTAAAATTATGGTGTGATAATCAAGTAAATGTGAAAAATTGTATAATAATATAATTTGTCACACATATATATTATCTAAGATTTTATTAAACATTTTTTTCTAAATTATTGTTTTCTTTAGTCTTTGGCCCCAATTAAAAATTATTTGTATTTGTATGTAATTTGTATTTATATATGAAATTATACCTCGACTTATGCGGTTATCGCTCGGTGCCACCTATTGCGTAAGTTTGGGGTATTATTGTAATTGATATATTCTCATTTCAGAAATCCATCTTTGTTTTTACTAATCTAATATAAATAATTCATTAAGCAGATCAGTTTCATTGAAGTTATTTATACATTACACAGAATTTAAAAGGTCATCTGGTTTTAATAAAAATAACAATGCTTCCACTTAATACACTTAATGCTTTCACGGTTTATTAACGTAGCTAATTTTGTGTACATTTCTGTACATGAAACGACAGCAAAATTATGCATGGCCACAAAATTATTCAAAAAATTAGCTACTTTAATAAACCATCAAGGGAAAACAATGGCTGTGTTCAGCAGATTCAACAGTTCCAGAGCTGTTGAGTATGTTTTGCCAAATGCCCTCTACAGTAGCACTGTTCTGGAACACTGGTATTTTGATATCATATTTAGTAGTGTCTTTCATTTATGCTACCTATTGCTTACCTGAAACTGACCAATGATTGTCTGCTTTTTGTTCCAATGCCTATGTCACTCATCGTTTATCAGATGTAACTATGTAACAGCTACCAATTGAAACACCTTTGCTTGGTTACAACTGTTGACTCTGCTGAACACGGCCAATGATAAAAACCTCTTCTAAAATCAGCATGATAATGCAAGTTTCGAATATATGTCAGGAGTTCTGCAGACTAAGAATTTGACCCACAAAATAATGAAAAGTTGTTTTTACTTTGTAGGTCACGTAAGTGATATAGAAATGGATTTTAACTATAGAATTTCATACCCATCCACATAATTATCAATTAAATCTACTTCTTAGATATAAACAAAATCTATCTTCTTTTTTTATTCAATTTAATTCTTTTTGTGATTAATTGGCTTAATAATTGTTTAAATCGATTGAAACAGCCAATATCGATAAAGATGTTCTTCTCGGATGCAGGAAGCTGCTCCATCCGCATCATCTCTTTACATCAATCCAGCAGGTGGCGCAATTAGCGCCAATGTCGCCGTTCCCATTTTTTTAACTTTATACTGCATTTACCATCTCTTTTCAAAGCGCATTTCTTACGTAAAACGGCTTCTCGAGTATTAAAAATAAAGATAAATTAGATTTTACGCGATAAATTATAAGTGAACTTACCTGCGAGACGTCGTCTCTGTCCTCAGTTGTGGATGTCCCCGAAACTTCCGGTGTAACTAGTGGCTGTTCGGTCATCATATTTAATATATATATTTACCTTTAACCAACATATAAACTTACCATAAAGAAAAAAACAAATTAAGCCGACGACTCGAACGTCAAATACAAAATAAACGCCATTTTGAAACGAGTACCTCCGCCTATACATGTGCCGAAATGATTATGAAAAATATTACTTTCTGTAATACTTTATTATTAATTTATGTTTAAATTGTGATATTAAAATGTATTCAATTAGAAGAAACAAAGTTTTAGTATTAATTCGTAAATGTTTTCGTCGCTAGGATTCGCGTTGTGCGACCATGTGCTTAGCTATGGTGTTGCGAATGTTTACACTGGGAAGAAATGGTTATTTTAGTTTTTAAAATGATAATTTCTGACTTTTTAAACGTGTTTCGCTAATTAAGTTAAAGAAATGAGTTTATTACCGAAAAGTATATCGAACTTTTCTAAAGAAGATTACTGGAATAAATTTTTTACGAAACGAGGAAATCGAGCTTTTGAATGGTGATTTTATTAGCGTTGATTTTTTTTAAAGTAGTAATTAAATAATCTATGTTAATACTCGTATAGTGTCTAATAACTGAAGTTTTATTTAGGTAGGCACAGTAATATCACAAATATAATGGCAGACCGAAAATTGTGACGGTAAAATTGGTAAGATGTGAACTCTAAATGAGTGATTTCCCCACCCCCAGAGTTGTAGACTCCCTGTATGAGCAAAAAAGTCAATGGAACCATACCTGTATATGTGACTCTTTGCGAGATATTCTCCTCCAAATGTCAGTTTTTACCATGTATCAGTATACTGTCTATTCTCCATGCAGAGCCTTCACCCATGCTCTGCATGGAATGTCCTTGCCTTCCTTGCCTTGCCTACAGTGCATCTTGCCATGCAGAGCTCCTTACCGTGCAGAGTGTCAGTGAAGTCAAGCTATTGCTTGTCTTGAATACTCATGTGCTTCAGTGCTCACTAATGTTCACACTCTGTTCCCAGACCCCCTAAAACTAGATAACATCAAGTACTCAATGAACAGTCAAATGAGTCACTCAAAGCCATCACATGGGCTAAATAGTTAAATGTGATAATCTTACAATTACAATTGCATGCAACCTGATTTTGGGGGACTATATCTCTCAAAGGGTCACATGTAGAGGTATGGCTCCTTTGACTTTTTTTGCTCCTATGAGTATAGTGTACAGCTCTGATAAGATCCCAACTACCTCCTTTAGTGCTTCTTTGTACCATAGTGACAAACTAGTAATCATTTCAGGACAAGATTTTATCTCTGTATGTTTAGTCCATGTCTAAACAGGAAAAACACCAAAAGATACCAAAGAAATTTTTCTTATATCCTTTCTCTTTTGCGAGACACACACAAAAAATATTTTTTTGAGTTTTAAAGTTTTCTCTCAAGTGTTTCTAAGATAAATCTTGTAAAATATGTAGAAAGACTAAAATTACACTTTCACCATGTCCAATCATCAGGAACAACAGTCTTCCATTGCAGAAACAATTTTTATTAGAGGCTACGCTTCTGCAAAAAACATGCAAAGCAGTCAAACAATTAAAAATTACAATATTTTTTTAAAAATTGGCTGATGAATTTACATTAATAAAATACATAGAACGACTAAAATGTCTACACTTTTGCCATGTCCAATCACCAGGAACAAGAGTCTTCCATATAATGTAAATTCATTGGCCATTTTTAAAAGGAATATTATAATTTGTATACTACATAAACCAGGTGATTGTAATTAAAATATACTCTATTCAATGCAGTCTAGAGAGATATATAGCAGTCCAAATGTGACCATATTTAGTATGGTGACATTTCAGGGTGTGGAAGATATTAAAACTCACTATTATGGCACTTTTGGCACTACAAACAACAACAATTTTATTTGTAGATGACACTCAACCAGTCATCAGGAATAAAGTTTTTTCTGGGAATTGGTAGTCTTGATTGGTCTGGTGATCGAACATAATAGTCTTGTTACAAGAATAATATGTCTTCTGTTATAATCAGTATTCCATTACAGGAAGTTGTTCTGTAAGGGGCTATCCATAAATCATTTCCACACTGGAAGGGAGAAAGGGGTTATGACAAATCAGATAAGGTTGGAGAAGGAAGAGTGGAGGGGTTGAGCTTCAGTTGACATCTGTTTTGTTTCATTACATTTTATACAATTTATGCATTTTGTTATATTTATTTCAAAATTTCTTCTATATTACTTTTCCAGCTGTTATGTATAAATAACAAGGAAAGTATTGGAATTGTGTCAAATTTGACCCTCTGAGCTTTTGCAAATCTTTACATTTTGAGACTCCTGAACCCAAAAAAATAAAAAAAAGGGAGGGGGCAAAAAAATTTCATGAATGTGTGTGTGTTTTAGCATCTATTTCGCTTAATATTACAGGACAGGGTGAAGATAAAGAAACAAAATTTGGCATGGCAGCTTGTATGTAAGGGGTATTGTTGCTATTAAATTTTGGTTGTAAAAGGTCAAGCGGATGGATAGATGGAGGGTGGTCATGTGCCATATCTCACAAAGAGTCAGACTTAATAAAGATTTTACTTATTAGCATTTACAGTGTTTTATAAAACTTATCTCTACCCTCAAAATTAAGTCTTTTGCTGTTTTATAATAGTTAAAAATATATAAAGTTTTTATAATTGATAACAGATGACGACACCAAATGTCGCCGGGAAAGTTAAGCAACTCGTTTCTGGATTTTTTTTCATTCCAACTCACAAAATCAAGCTTTCTGCCATTTTATAATAGTTAAAAATATATAAAGTTTTAAAAATTGATAACAGATGACGACACCAAATGTCGCCGGGAAAGTTAAGCAACTCGTTTCTGGATTTTTTTTCCTTACGAAGTTGCATGCTTTAAACCGACGTAGCAAATTAGTAATATATAGTTTATTGTCTTTTCATTGGTCACGTTAAGTTTTGAATATTTTTCATCATGAGTGTCGCTTAATTAGGGTTGCATAATGACACGAGACAGAAAACAGGAAAATGAAATCATGTTACAAAGGCCGGGGTTTGCTCGTGACTGCTCTAGAGTATGTGGTTTCGTTTCTATGACTTTACTGTTTAGCAATATATTTTATAATGAACAAAAGAATTCTCCCAATCCTACGATTCTAGTAACTGTCCACTAAATGCGCAATATATTTTTACAATGGAATAGATTCCTCCTCACTTTCTAATAGACAATATACATTCATTAACAATAAAAAGTTACGCACCAAGAAGGCAGCGTTGGAATCGAATGAAACTTTATTAGTGTAAATGCAGTGACTATGATAATGAGTGATTACGATATTCTAGCAAACGGGCAATTTCCTGTTCAACAATGGTGTATAATTTAAAGAAATGTATAATACTTTGTAGGACCTCTTCTCGCTTGGATATACAGTATACGGCAATAAGATTGGGCATAGAGGTATACAGATAACGTATGGTATTCCATGATAGATTTTTCCACAGATGTTGCTTCTGCTACTACACATGAAGGTGGCCGAAAGCCGGCATTCCATTTGTTCCACAAATGCTCGACGGACAACAAATCTGGAGACAAATTAAGCCAAAGAAGTTTGAAAACGTGACGGAGAAATTCTTAAGAAATTCTAGTTGAGTGCGGCCAAGCATTATGAGCGGCTGAAAATGGTTGTTTGCAGCCCTTCGGTGGAAGGCAGCAAAGAGGTTGCTGGATTTCCGCTGTGCCATCAAGTGGTGCGAGGAATTAATTATCTCTCGCACCACTGCTACAGGGACTGACTATCATACGAGATAGCAATCCAGACCAGTGCAAGTCAGCAGTGGGGGCAGTTGTCATTCAATAAAGGCGGGATTGAAGCGTTCCTCCACATTAACATGGTGGTCGTCCGAGCGGAATTGGGATTCATTGCTAAAGCCGATACTCTGCCATTTCGTAGCACTTCATGCTTCGCTGTCACGGCACCACTGCAAAGGAAGCCGACAATGTTGGGATGCCAATGGCAGAATGCCATATAAATTTGTAGTCACCAGCCAATGTTACGGAAGGGGACATGTTCTGTAGCAAGGTTTCTACCTGTCTGTGGATCAGTGCCGATAGTAGCTTTTCGTGTAATATATATATATATAATATATATTATTGATAATATATATAATATAATATTGATAATTTTTGATACTTCATTTCAGAGTTCACCCCCCTCTAGGTCTGTGCACCCGTTGCACCTATCTAATTACGACACTGCTCTGAATAGTGGAGAAAGACGCTGTTGCAGCTGTTTGTGATCAGAATTTATCTTTCATGGTGACCTATCTAGGACGTACTGTACAGTACATAGCCTGGCTGCCGTGTACGTTCGGCCTGCGCCATGACGTTTGCATTTCTTCAGCACTTCATCACACTCAGATCAGAACATCCCAGAAGGCAGGAAATTTGGCGAAACTACCATAATGCTTTCCTTAGCCCGATGATACTGTTTTCTTCTTCTGTTAGTTGTGCTTAATGTTATTGACTGCATTGTACTGTACATAACATTACTTTGGGCAACTTATCCTATTACTGCATGCTTCATCAAACTAAATGATTATTTTTCATTGAACTAGAACATTGCAGAACTTTAAATTAACTCTCCTAATGGGGCATATGTTGTTCCATTCATGTGTTTTGTATGCATGATGCACTCACAATTTATACTTGTGTGGTTCTATCTCATTGAGGCATCTCTGCCACTCACGTTCTTTATGTATGGAGATATCATTTAGCAGGTCATCTTTCCCATACCGTAACACTAGAGAATCAGTCCCAAGTACTTAAAGCCTCAGAGAGGTGTAACATATTGGAATGCATGTGACAATTTTTATTAATCTTTTACCACGTTTACTACTAATGTACACGGTATGTGCTCTCTTGTAAGCATTTTTATGGATAATTAGTCATTATATGTTTAAATAAATAATAAAAATAAGGGAAAAGTGTGTTGATGTACGGATAGAAAGCATTAAAAATTGATAACTGTAATTCTATACTGTAAAGCGGAAGCACAAATGACATATATTTGCATGTAATTGCCGCTAACTTCTCCTACCCATAATTATAGACTATCAGCAATTGGGCAACTCCCATCCAATTTGAACTCTTTATTCAATTAATGAGCAGTGAATTGCTAGCAGGGGAGCGAATTTTAATAAAAAAAAATAAACTCCAAATTTTTCTATAGAAGTTAATTATACAGCATATAACGTTAATTATGATTATACAGGGAAAAGTTTAAATCCTATTTAATCTGTTTATTAATTTTGACCTTCCCCTCGTTTTTTTTTTCTTATTTAAGCTTATTTAAGCCAACTATTATGTGTAGAATATATCCACACAAATCATATGAGTATACAAGGTGGCCCAAAAGTCAGTTAACCGTTGTAAAAATCTAAATTTATATCTTATTTAATAGTTTTAAAAATAACTTTTCTACTAATTACATAAAAATACGGTCG